GCTCTCGGCGATGTCGCCGAGAACACTTGTAATCAGAGTGCCGGTCCATCCTCCCCCCACAAGATAAATAAAAATGTAAAAAGTAAAAACATTAAAAAAATTAAAAAGTGATAAAAAAAGTTAAAAAAAAGGAGAGAAACAAACAAAAAAAAACCCATAAAAAAATTAAAACCAACCCTGCCGCCCCCGCATTCCCTCGGCGGAGAGGGGGCATTGCCGAACCCGGCCTTGGGGCGGGGCGGCAGGAGGGTAAATCCGGTCCTGCCTATAATTATTGCTCACACTCTGGTATGCACGGCTATATACAACATGTGTGGTGCAATTGTAATTTCCGTACGCATGTATGCGTTACTATGTGCCTGCACACGTGGGACTTTAAAAATGTTTTGGCGTGTTTTAACATTTTATTTAAAGTGATATTAAAGGATAAATCCCCCCCGCCCTCAGTCAGGAAGCCAGGTTTGGCCCTTGTGCTCGGAATCCTGCACAGGTACCTGCGCATGTGCGTGGGCATAGTTCACTCACAAAGTTGTGCACCGCTGGGCGCCTCTGCGCAGACGTGCATACTTTGGCGTGCGTGTCTCACGGCATGCGCACATGCCGTGTGCATGCACGTGTTGCGGATTTTCGCGCTAAACTGGCTATTTAAGGCTGTGACTTTCTAACCTCCAGTGCTATCTGATCCTCAGCTGTTCCCTGTATCTGTATCCTGAACCCAGCATCCTGACTCTGATCTTCTGGTGTTGTGACCCGGCTTGACTATCTATTCTGCTGCTCTTCTGGATTCCCTCAATCTCGGCTTGTTTCTGACCACACTCCTGCCTGCTACTCTGTATTTTGCTGCCCGCAAGTTGCTGATCCGGCCTGTCCCTAACTACTCTTTGTCTACTGTCCTGGTACCTCGCTGCTCGACTGTTGCAGATCCGGCTTGTCTTGGACTTCGCTGCTACTGGCACTTATGCCTCTCCTGTCCTTGTGCACCACCTGTTCCACTTCCAGGGGTTCTTGGACTTGAGCTGCAAGAGAGGCCTTCCTCGTCAACTCAGACTCCTCTAAGGTACGTGGTTCTGACACCCCCCCCCCCCCCCCCCCCAATGCTGCTTTAAGGACTTATCTTAAATGATGCCTCTTCATCCAATCATCTTCTTCTTTCCAGTAGTTTTCAGGAGTCCCTCCAGCGCTGGTGCCGGTGTCTGATCCAGCGCTGACTTCTGTCTCTTCCTGTCCCACGGACTCTGTACGCATGCACACTGTCAGGCTGCCTGCATTGACTTACACTTTGTCTCTCCTTGTCCCCCGGCCAAACATCTCTACTGTGCATGCTCCCGCCCCATGATCCTTCACGGCTGCTCGAGAATTTTTCAGATCTTCGGACTGGAGTGAGCGGCGGAGACACAGGTAAGTAAAAAGCCTTTTAGTGACTTTTTTATGTTTTTGCATATATCTACTGCTTGTCAGGTGAATGTCCCCTCCTCTCTCTGCCGGCACTCATTATTAAGATGGCCGCCGGCAGGCGTCAATTAGACGACCGTGCATGCGCAATGACGTCACAGTGGGGTGTCACCCGGTCTCAGGTCGCCTCTGGCTTGACATGCAGTTTAAGAAGGTCTAGTTTCCTAGATATTTGTCCTGCAAACCTGCATATACATTTGTTCTCTGCGCATTAACCAGCATTCACTCATTAGATTTCAGGGTTTTTAACCCAATGTATAAAGCAGTGGCTAGATGGGAACTATTTTCTCTTAGGAAATAAATTTTTTAGGGGATTGGGAATGTTACATTAGCCCTGTATAAGACAACTTAAATATAATCTCACATATAAAATAAAAACATTTGCAAGGATAATATTTACAACTTTTGAACGCATGCTTATACATTGAGGTCGGGACTCTGTGCAGGCCAGTCAGGTTCCTTCACACCAAACTCGCTCATACATGTCTTTATGGAACTTGCTTTGTGCACTGGTCATGTTGGAACAGGAAGGGGTCATCCCCAAACTGTTCCCACAAAGTTGGGAGCATGAAATTATCCAAAATGTCTTGGTATGCTGATGTCTTAAGAGTTCCCTTCACTGGAACTAAGGGGCCAAGCCCAACCCCTGAAAAACAACCCCACACCATAATCCCCCCTCCACCAAACTTTACACTTGGCACAATGCAGTCAGGCAAGTACTGTTCTGCTGGCAACCGCCAAACCCAGACACGTCCATCGGATTGCCAGACAGAGAAGCGTGATTTGTTGGCGACTTCTGTGCCCTGTGCGCTGACCCCACTTTGTAATTTTACATGGCCTACCACTTCGTGGCTGAGTTGCTGTTGTTCCCAGTTGCTTCTACTTTGTTATAATACCAGTAACAGGTGACCGTGGAATATTTAGTAGCAAGGAAATGTCATGGATGGACTTATTGCACAGGTGGCAACTCATCACGGTACCACACTTGAATTTACTGAGCTCCTGAGAGCGACCCATTCTTTCACAAATGTTTGTAGAAGCAGTCTGCATGCCTAGGTGCTGGATTTTATACACCTGTGGCCATGGAGGTGATTGGAAAAGGACTTATCTTAAATGATGCCTCTTCATCCAATCATCTTCTTCTTTCCAGTAGTTTTCAGGAGTCCCTCCAGCGCTGGTGCCGGTGTCTGATCCAGCGCTGACTTCTGTCTCTTCCTGTCCCACGGACTCTGTACGCATGCACACTGTCAGGCTGCCTGCATTGACTTACACTATGTCTCTCCTTGTCTCCCGGCCAAACATCTCTACTGTGCATGCTCCCGCCCCATGATCCTTCACGGCTGCTCGAGAATTTTTCAGATCTTCGGACTGGAGTGAGCGGCGGAGACACAGGTAAGTAAAAAGCCTTTTAGTGACTTTTTTATGTTTTTGCATATATCTACTGCTTGTCAGGTGAATGTCCCCTCCTCTCTCTGCCGGCACTCATTATTAAGATGGCCGCCGGCAGGCGTCAATTAGACGACCGTGCATGCGCAATGACGTCACAGTGGGGTGTCACCCGGTCTCAGGTCGCCTCTGGCTTGACATGCAGTTTAAGAAGGTCTAGTTTCCTAGATATTTGTCCTGCAAACCTGCATATACATTTGTTCTCTGCGCATTAACCAGCATTCACTCATTAGATTTCAGGGTTTTTAACCCAATGTATAAAGCAGTGGCTAGATGGGAACTATTTTCTCTTAGGAAATAAATTTTTTAGGGGATTGGGAATGTTACATTAGCCCTGTATAAGACAACTTAAATATAATCTCACATATAAAATAAAAACATTTGCAAGGATAATATTTACAACTTTTGAACGCATGCTTATACATTGAGGTCGGGACTCTGTGCAGGCCAGTCAGGTTCCTTCACACCAAACTCGCTCATACATGTCTTTATGGAACTTGCTTTGTGCACTGGTCATGTTGGAACAGGAAGGGGTCATCCCCAAACTGTTCCCACAAAGTTGGGAGCATGAAATTATCCAAAATGTCTTGGTATGCTGATGTCTTAAGAGTTCCCTTCACTGGAACTAAGGGGCCAAGCCCAACCCCTGAAAAACAACCCCACACCATAATCCCCCCTCCACCAAACTTTACACTTGGCACAATGCAGTCAGGCAAGTACTGTTCTGCTGGCAACCGCCAAACCCAGACACGTCCATCGGATTGCCAGACACAGAAGCCTGATTTGTTGGCGACTTCTGTGCCCTGTGCGCTGACCCCACTTTGTAATTTTACATGGCCTACCACTTCGTGGCTGAGTTGCTGTTGTTCCCAGTTGCTTCTACTTTGTTATAATACCAGTAACAGGTGACCGTGGAATATTTAGTAGCAAGGAAATGTCATGGATGGACTTATTGCACAGGTGGCAACTCATCACGGTACCACACTTGAATTTACTGAGCTCCTGAGAGCGACCCATTCTTTCACAAATGTTTGTAGAAGCAGTCTGCATGCCTAGGTGCTGGATTTTATACACCTGTGGCCATGGAGGTGATTGGAACACCTGAACCCAGATAGCAAGAATAAGGGTGCCCATACACCTTACAATTTATCTGCTGATTTTCTGTAACGGTGGTTGCTGTTGGAGAGAAGCGCAGATTCGATTCAGTCCCGCGGCTTTGCTGCCTTGCCTAAGGTTAAAAGTTAAATACACCGCTGGGTGTATGGCCAGTTTTCGCAAGAGCTCTGCAAGCTCGCTGGTCTGGAGACTTGCAGTGCAGACTTGCTGTAATTGTGCAACAAATTTGTGACGCTTGGTCTGTCTGCAATACTTTAGCAAGTCATTTTCAAACTTGCAGCTCAATTGCCTGCTATCTGGGAATCCAATGATTTGGAGGGGTGTCCCAATACTTTTGGCAATATAGTGTATATGTGAGGCATCCTGATTGCAATGGTATGAATAAACAAATATGGCAATAAAAAAATAAAAGAACTATATGAACATCACAAAAAAACTGAGCTTGGAACATAGAGAACAGGAGTTGTAACATAGACTGTAGGCAGTAGAACACTGCACTATTGAACTGGGCCATAAGAAACAATCTGCGCATGTGCCATGTTACACCTGAATATGGATGTGAATGAATCATGGTCTGACAGGTAGACTTTACTGACCCTGTCCTCTTGTCTGCACACTGCCATCTACTCTAACCACTGCAAATATATGGTTAATGTTGTTAGGTGTGCTGGGTGATTGGGAACAGAAACATATGAGGAGGACCCAAAGTTTGTCATATTTTAGAGAATGGAAACACACGTTAAGGATTTGTTGTCAGAAAACAACTCCACCCAAAGCTTTTCTTCCCGGCCACAGCTACCCCGAGCCTCCCATATGTGAGCAGCGCTGGCGGCCAGGACACGCAGGCACACTCCACACGCTGCAGGGTCACAGGGTGGGGTGATAGCTTTGGGTGGGAGGTATGGCAGCGTTGTGTGGGAGGGGTAACATCTATGAGTGGGCGGTATGACCGCTATGGGTAGGCGGGGTGACAGTTATGGGTGGGCTCAGGGTGGACGATCCATTTCCTGTGCTGCCTGCTGGAGAGAAGGAAGATGTGGACAATAGGAAGCGCTGGCAGGAGGGGAGGCGATGCGGATCGGTGAGCAGAGTCCGGACATGTGTGACACACCTGAGCTCACCTGGCCGATCACACAGGAGGACCCGGGGGAGAGCAGTGCCCGGCCAGTGTATGGACGCTGATGTTTATCACCCCGTTACTATAATTACCAGCCGCTCATCGGATCGTCCAACCAATGTGAGAGTAAACCGTATTACAGAGATCTTTCCCCGCCGAGTGTACACAGATCCGGGGTGTATATAGAGCTGCGGTGTCATCTGATCTTCGGGGTGCAGCCACTTACCAGCACTTACTGAATCTCGTGTATAGGTCGGCAACCAGCTGGGTTCACATTTCAAGTGTGTGGCCACATCTGTCCTCCTCCTCATTCTGATCCCTTGCTGATCATGTATGTATACATATGTGTGTGAATAATAAGAGATCAGTGTGAGGTGGAGGAGGACAGATGTGGCCACACACTAATTAATATAAATATATATTGAGGGGAATTTATCAAAACGGGAGCAGGCAAAATCTGGAGCAGCTGTGCATGGCAACCAATCAGCTTCTCTTCTATTTTCAAGGCTTAACTTAATAAACTGAGGAGTCAAGCTGATTGGTTGCCATGCACAGTTGCTCCAGATTTTATCTGCTCCCTTTTTGATAAATGCCCCTCACTGTATGTATGTGCTACTAGAGAGAGCAGACATGATATAAAGTGGACCATACAGTAGTTGTCTGCATGCGACACAGACCACCTGGAAAAGACAGACTAAAACAAAAAAAACCTGCCCTTGAAGTGAGGCTCCCCCAGTACTGGAAGGGTTAACTGCTTATCAATGTCTAGGGGACCCGAGCAAAGGACTTTTACTTTCCCGATCCTCACTCCCACAGGCCCCAAGACCAGCACCTGCAGCCCCCCCCCTCCCCCCAACCGTTCTGGAGGTGAGAGGTCCGCTGACGTGGTCACGTCCAATGCAGGGCCCATAGTGTGAGGACACTGAGGGTCAGTCCACAAGCTGGAGCGTAGGGGAAACTAGGAGAGCAGGGATCAGGCAAGTAAAAGTCCTTGATACTGGTCCGCTCTGGTGATGTCAGGGGTTGCACATAAGAAGCAAAGTTGACATGCTGGTGTAAGTCCATGTTCCTTATCCACAAATATTTAATGGAAAGTATGTGGGGACATGCAAGTTTTTTGTTTTCGTTATTGCAGCGTTCACCTTAAAGTTGTGGTTCTCATGCTGTGTAACCTCAGGACCGACATTTGTCCTTGGTCATGGTCATGACCCAAGTTGCACGGCATTGCGGTACTGTGCGTTCCGGTGCGGCTGGTCGAACTGTGGGCGTAAGGTTCATTTGGGGTACCATTCAAATTTATGGCAATGCAGTGCACCTCTCGCATCAGAATGCAATCCACCCAGTCTCCCTTCCTTACAAGAACTGGAGTGGATCCTCAGCCTGGAGTCCAGTGTGGGCTGCTGTGCTGTGACGGAGCTCCATCCATACGTGCATTGCTTGTACAGCTCCCTTGCGCGTCCTGTAGAGGTTACGGGAGGCAGAATGTGACGTGACTCCGGTCCAGGCACCTCTACAGGGCATGCGAGGGAGCTGTAAGCAACGCATGTATGGATGGAGCTCCCTCCTGGCCATACCCCCTGCCCACCTCAAGCTGACGCTCGGCGCCAGGCAGCAAATTTTGAATGGGTGCTTGGCACGAGAACTGATGACATTAAAGTATATCTGAAAGCAAAGAGCAGGGCATAATTTACCCTTGTCAGGTTTTATTTGCTGTGTGGGTCCCATTGGGGAGGTTTCCCTTCACTTTCTGTCCTGGGAACTGAATAGAAAGTGAGCGAAAATCTCTTTCAAATGAGACTTTTTATGTATAAAACAGCATTTCATTAGTGATGGGGTTTTATGTTTAGTGGTATATTCAGAATCATTTGTGTGTTTTGTATGTTCTAAGAAGTTTTGTCTTGTTCTGTTAGGACAGAAGGAGCACTACTGATCGCTGGTGAGCTGGATGTGTAACTTAATGGAATGTGAAGGGGAATGAAGCCTCACATAGGTCTGCAGAGGTAGCAGGTATGTAGATTTGAGGCTGAATAAATCTGCAGGCACATGGCATTACCTATGCTGTGGCGTCATTCAGCTGAACTGACCACTGTAGTAGGGTCACAGGGATCCTGTAATACACTGTGGTAGGGTCACAGGGATCCTGTAATACACTGTAGTAGGGTCACAGGGATCCTGTAATACACTGTGGTAGGGTCACAGGGATCCTGTAATACACTGTAGTAGGGTCACAGGGATCCTGTAATACACTGTGGTAGGGTCACAGGGATCCTGTAATACACTGTAGTAGGGTCACAGGGATCCTGTAATACACTGTAGTAGGGTCACAGGGATCCTGTAATACACTGTAGTAGGGTCACAGGGATCCTGTAATACACTGTAGTAGGGTCACAGGGATCCTGTAATACACTGTAGTAGGGTCACAGGGATCCTGTAATACACTGTAGTAGGGTCACAGGGATCCTGTAATACACTGTAGTAGGGTCACAGGGATCCTGTAATACACTGTACTAGGGTCACAGGGATCCTGTAATACACTGTGGTAGGGTCACAGGGATCCTGTAATACACTGTAGTCGGGTCACAGGGATCCTGTAATACACTGTAGTAGGGTCACAGGGATCCTGTAATACACTGTAGTAGGGTCACAGGGATCCTGTAATACACTGTAGTAGGGTCACAGGATCTTTGGTGCACAACTTAATAATCATAGTTGTGCATATTTAAACGTGCTCCTTGATATGATTTAAGTTCTCAGGTTGACTTTTATTGCTAAATAGGTGCATGCAGTTGCGGCACAACAGAGGAAAGGGTGTACAGTTACCAATGTCACTTTGGTCGCAAAACAGACCTAAGGCTCAGTTCACACCTGCGCATCTCAGGAACACATGTTCCATTCCTGTGCGTTTGCACAAGTTCCCGTGCCACGTTTGAAATCAATGGGGACGCATGGCAAAAAAGGTTATGTAGTATTTTTTGTGTCATGCGTTTGGTGTTATTTTGCTTGTGTACGTGTGTTGGCCGCATTTGGGGTGCCATTAAGAATGAATGTCACCGCAAGCGATTTCCGCAAACGCGTGCCGAACGTGCATGTGTGAACCGGGCCTAAAGATTAAGAACCTGTGTTGATGGACTTTTGTTGACTTCAGTCGGCTTTGCATCTCCATACAAGCATATGGGAGTAAAAAACCAGCAGGTCAGAAAGACGTCAGTTGCACCCGTCGGTGAATTCTGAATAATCTCAGTAATTTCAAAGTGATGTCCTGGACAGAAGCCCTGCGGCACAGGCTCTAATTCTTACATATTTGCACACAAAATGCACATGCAAACTTCTGACCTGAGGCACAATTGCATAATAATTATTCCACACTGTATATAACATATTTATATGTGTGCACACTCGTCTATAGTCTTCATTGCCCTCCGCTGTGATTCTATTTGTATTATGTTTATTTTCCTTTGCAATGTTTTGTTCTGGGAAGTGTGCCTGCTGCTTTCACACATAATATGTAATCTGCTTTAATCTTTCACTCAGCAAAGGAAGCGCTTTCACTTTTCCTCATTCCACATCCTCTTGGAAGATCTGATCCTATGCTCCACACCCAAACCCTTCAGGTTTAATACTCTGTCCTCACTTACTCTGTGACCCAAAAATGAAGTCAATTCATAAATCTGCAAGCACTTCAGAAATGCACGTCTGGGTATTTCCTGTGCTAAAGCTTTCTCTATCCTGTCACTCGGTTTCTTTTTTATGTAGTGTCATGATGAGGGTGAACTGAGCTTGATGCAGTTTGAAGGATAATTCCACCTAAATACATATTTTGTACATTGTCATTCAAGAGCCAATCGGTCAGCTCACTCAAACTTAATTCAGTTTTTGGAAGATGCTACAATGTAGAATCACCCTGTGGTTTCTCATGGCTATAAGGGACCCCTCAGACATGCTCTCTGCATCTGAGCACCCAATTCCTCCCACTTTCACTTGCGTTCTTGGCTTTGCAGCTGCTGATAAACAGAAGGGAGCTCCAAACTGTGTGGATGGCCTGGCAGATATGCTCCACCCAATATATAGGATGAGCCTTTTGTCTATTCACATGTGGCAGATCCAGACCAATGATGGTCTGTGAAGCTCATCTGCAAGACATGCCTAGAATGCATGGAATTTGCTGGAGGATGCCTTTTTTGGTGAATCCTTGGATACATACATCAAAAAAGTTGGGGGGGGGGGGGGGGAAGGGACTTTTCCAACGCCAGAGTTAAGTGTCATTACCAAGGGCTACAAACTGACTCCTCCTTTATTTCCTATTATCCGAATCTCCTTAAAGGTGGGTGGATCTCTTCTTTGCCCTAAGTCAGCTATTTTCTAAGGGACAAACCGGTTCGATCCCTAGATTTCCCCATTTGCCAGCAAGATGGTGGCAGGGTCGGAACTACCGGCGGTGCGGGGGCCCAAGGAAATTGAGGGGCCCACTGAGGTCTGGTCCCCAACGTCTTCTAGTCTGTAGGGAGGGACACCTGCAGGGGGACTGAGCCGGTGTCCTTTGAAAACGGCCGCTGCAGCGGCGATCACTCTTCTCATTGAGAAGAGAGAGCTGAGAAGAGTGATCGCCGCTCTCGATCAGTGGAGCCGGCACACAGTAGTGACAGCTGTACACATTCTTTTCCTCAGCCACAGAGCGGCCAAGGGCAGAAGGATCTGTACAGCTGTCACTTTCAGGGCCGTAGACAAGGGGGGATAGGGGGTTCAACCCCCCCTCCCCGAGTGTCCTAGCGGTGGCATACCGAGGGGGTAGGGTTGCCACCTGTCCAGGATTCACCCGGACAGTTCGGGTTTTGAATGCTGTGTTCGGGTTTCATGGCAGCAGAAACCCGGACACAAGACTCCCAGCAATACTTTATACAGAGCGTGGCCCGAAAAAAAATCTTGCACCAGGGCCCTTTGATCCTTAGGTCCGCCACTGGATGGTGGTGAATATTCATTTCAGTGCTAGTCAGGGAAGTCATTCCTTTATGATGAGCTCACGGCTGATACCAGCCTATCCGGTTGGGGCGTAGTCTTGAAGAGCCTCTGGGTCCAAGGGACCTGGTGTCAAAGGAATCGTGATTCCCGATAAACATCCTGGTGCTCAGAGTGATTCAGTTATCTCTTCAGTGCTGACCTCCCCATTCAGCATTTAATGTTCTGTGACGATTATTCTCAATTCTGACTCTGTTCATCCTTCCTGAGGGTCCCCATTTGGACCTACCAGCCACCTGTTCCACTTTTGCTAGGTTGATCCATTGGACATCACTTATGCCTGTGAACCGAAGAGGAAAGTTCTCCCTTTCCGGTCACTAGAGGTGTTGGTGCTTTTCAGCACCAGTCCTCTGTGAAAACTTTTGTGAAGTTCTACCTGGTGGATGTTCAGGGCTCTGCGGATGCCAGTTTTGCCTATAAGGTCCTTCAGACAGCCTTTTGACTTGGAGTATGTCCCTGTTTCTGGTTTTCTGTTCCCTGCTGGGGTTCTTGTTCCTTTTGGCCTGTAAGCCGCTGTTTGCGTGTTTACTTTTGCACATCCCAGTTGTTAAAGATTTAACGTCCTGTGATGAATGATAAAGATAACAGGATTTTTTGTCTTACCTGTAAAATCTGTTTCTTGGACTACATGGAGCATTCTGTGATCCAACCTGTATTGCTTGCTATAAAACTAAGGCAGGCTGGGAGTGCGAGGGGTTATGCAGGGCTTGTTCTGTAGCTTTGATTGATTTACTTGTGTCCAATCACCTTAAGGTAGCTGCACAACCGGCATAACTGTTCCGTCACCCACCTTATCCAGAGGGAGCAAAAGAGATTTGTCAAAAAAAATCCACCTGACGACATTGCTACTGAGATTGCACAGCCAGTGGTGGCTGAAAGAGTCAGGGGAAGTCTGTAGACATGCATTTATTCCTGTTCTGACCGCTATTAGATGGTTGGGGCAAGAACATCTTATGGGTTTGGGTAACTTTTTATTTTAAAACCTGGCTATCAGATGTGAATACATGATGTATCTTGGGCATTAAAGGAGAACTATGGGGTAAGTGTTTTTCCCTATAGTTCTCCTAAGGGTAACGGGAGGACACAAACGTCCTCCCGTCACCCAAAGCTCAGTACAGTTCGTGGTATACAGAGACGCTGCAGCCGGAACGGATCCCGATGATTCTGTCTGGATCCACCCAGCTGCGTGAGTGACAGCTGGCTCTGCCTATCTATATGTATGCTGGCTTGACCTGTACTGGAGCAGGCAATGATTGTAAATATCAAAGAACGCCAGGCAAAATTTTAAAATGCCCATTTTATCACTTATGTACGTCTTAGTGTCATTACATACTTTTCATACTGCTAGTGCAGTAGCTTTGTATTGTCTTCCCACAATTCCCTTTATAGAATGACAGTGGGAGGTAATGTAATGTGAGTCAGACAGACTCTGTTATGTTGCTAATTCTGCATATTTTTCGGCAGAAGGAGCTATATAGCTAGTCTTGTGATTATGCTGGTTATGACCTGCCTAAAGAGATTTAGAACGTTTGTCAGGTAACACCGTTTTCATATGTATTTTGAATGTGAATTTATTTGCCTGGAGCTTTGTTTGTACATGGGAATCTGTAATACAAATCCTAAATGTGGACATCACAAATTTCATTCAGACCAGCACTGACCGTAGTTTTCCAAGAGATTGGACATGTAGAACATGTTTGTGTTGTTCACCCTTCTAGTTTGGTTATTGGACACTAATTTTTTTTATTTCATGTATTTTTAAGGGCCTCAGACAAGCCAAGACATGAAGCTCAATGAGAGGAATTTGGTCTATTATGCCACCTGCAAGTCTCCAGTGGATAAATGTGGGTTCTTGTATAAAAAGGGTGAGCGCAATGCTTCCTATCATAGGCGCTGGTTTGTGCTGAAGGGTAACATGCTCTTTTATTACGACGGTGAAGACAGTAAAGAGCCCCTCGGAGTGATTATACTGGAAGGGTGTAGAGTGGAGCTATACGAGTCTACTGAAGAATTTGCTTTTGCTATCAAATTTGGCTATGCCAAATCCCGTGCCTATGTTCTTGCTGCTGACAACCAAAGCACAATGGAATCCTGGGTAAAGGCTCTTTCCAGGGCAAACTTTGAATACATCAGACTTGTAGTAAATGAACTTCAGGAGCAGCTCGTGGAAATAAAGAAAAGTCAGAGGTCAATTAGTGGAACTAGGGACACTACAGAATTAAATCCCAGTTCCCATAGGGACTGTCCTGCTGTCCCTGATATTCAGGATAGGCCTTTTCTAAAAGACAATGGCAGCGTGCCATGGAATAGCCCTCCAGATAATGTGCCTAATGGTGTCGCTCTTACAAATGGGCCAAAATATAAATACACAGAAGGGCATTTAAGAGATGACCCAGGGGAGAGTGCCCAGCTTTACTTCATGGCATCTGAGAAGAGTCTGCAGAGTGACAGTAGTGCCAGTAATGAGGAGGCTGAAGACACTCCCAACTTCTCCAGGCTTCATGATTTATTTGGTAAAGAAATTCTGGAACTAAGATCACAGTGGGCTAAAAACGCCTATGAACAATCATGAGCAGCATGCTGGAAATCTCTACTTGGTGTCATTCCACTCCAAAATATATCAAATTTGGGTAGCTGTTGGGTGTAATCACTTCCCGGATTCTTTTATCCCTTGTAAGCTCTGGAGATGGGAAATCCCAACTCCACCAACCCGCTGCAGCCTTTGCTAGTGGATTGTGGGGCAGCACCAGGAAATCTGACCGGGTGACCTTTTTATTGGATGGCCCAAGAGATTTAAAAAGTCGGAGAGATTCAGACCATATGTCTCAACTCATCCATGAAACCTTAGACTTTTGGTGGACTGACCTTTTTAGTTATCTCTGTCAATCACATGTTCTTCACAAGTAGCCTCTGCATATACTGCCACAATGCATAAGCCACTATTTTAGCCGTTTTTATATTTCAAATTTTACAACTTCATTTGATGAGCACAAGAGGACTTGCACTGATGTAACAGAGATGGATCAATATGAGATCTGCTACTTTGCTCAACATAGACTCATTTGTAATGTAATTTATGGCACTGAGAATGTGAACTTGCCTTATGTAATGATCCTAGAATTCTTTTGACCGATCACATCCTTTTTAGTCTGTGTATTGTAGTTATTTGCACAATTGTAACTTTCGAGTTTCTTAATACTGTGATGTGATTGTATGCTCTGATTTCTTAGAATGAATCAAGGTAGTGCTCTATGTGATGTTCTACGGACTCACTAACTTTATATTTTATCAGTTGATAAAGACGTAGTGACAATCTTTCTTATGAGGCAATTTCATTATTTAACATAAACCTGTCATGGAAAAAATACAATTTCTGACTTCTGAAAATGCTAGTTGCCTGGTTGTTTGACCCACTGGTTTTATTTTGTGGAGTATTTTAATGTGG